GAGAGGGAGAGACAGAGAGAAAGGTCTTCCATCCGCTAGTTCACTCCCCAAATGGCCACAATGGTTGAAGCTTTTCCTATCTGAAGCCAGGAGCCAGGAGCTTCTTCCAGGTCTCCCATGTAGGTTCAGGGTCCCAGTGACTTGGGCCATCTTCTACTGCTTTCCCAGACCATTAGCAGAGCTGGATTGGAAGAGGAGTAGCTGGGACTCGAACCAGCGCCTATATAGGATGGCGGCTCTGCAGGCGGAGGCCTATCCCACTATGCCACAGTGCCAGCGCCCCCCCCCCCCATAAATCTAAGATTATATTTGCGAGTGCTCAGAATCAATGTGATTTGCATCACATTAATCACATTAATGAACATTTGAGTCCATTTGGGCTGCTGTAACAAAAATACATAGAGCGCTTACAGAAAACAGGTGTTTCTTTGTCCCAATTCTGGAGGCTGAGAAGACCCAGAGCAAGGCCCCAGCAGATTGGGTGTCTAGGGACAGCTGCTTTCTGGCTCACAGCTGTGTCATCATGGGGTAGGAGGGGCAGGGTGGCTCGCTGGTAAGGGCACTAATCCCTTTCCTGATGGCTCCATCCTTAGGGCCGAACCATGTCCTAAATACCTCCTGAATCTGTCACCTTGAGGGCTGGGTTTTCAACATTCAAGTATGAATTGTGAGGGCACACAACATTCTAACCATAGCAAGGAGAGTGAGCTTGTGACTACTAAACCACAAAGTTGTCGTTGCTGTTCATAGTGAGCGAAATGGAGAAGCCATGTTGTGGAAAATATATTTGAGTTTTGTCTTCCAGCCAGAGGGATCAGGGACTATAAAGCATCAAAGGTGAAACTGTTTAACTGCATTCTCACTCAGCAGGGCGCAGGGAGGGTCCCTGGATCCTTACGTCCGGTTTCCTATTTGATGCCTCAGTGTGGGTGTCCTTAGGGCACCTCATGTTCATAATTTTCAAGATGGAATTTATGGTTTTTCCCCAATCAGAACTATTCCCGTTTTCCCTGTCTTTAGAGCATCCTCCACCCCGAGTCCAGTCTCCAGACTTCAGAATGCAAATTAGATCAGATTAGTCCCTGCCCTACCCTGGGGACAGCCCTCCATTTACTCAGTCCTCCTGCTTCATCTGGCCCCTGGGCCTTTGCCCATGTTGCTTTTGTGTCTGGAATGCTATGTCCCTGGCACAGCTCTACCCCTGTACCTAGTTGAATTTGGGACCTCATCTAGAGCATCGCCTCTTGGAGGAAGATTTCCCATTCCCACTGACCAGGTCAGATGTCCTCAGGGTTGACCTAACCTTTTTGATTGCTTTGTACCATTTCTTGGTGTACTATTTTTGATTTATTTTATATGAGCAAAATACACAGTCTGCACCCTTACAACACTTACGGTGACCTTGGGGTGGGGAGAAACAGGCGCTCCCTCCCTGACGCTCTCAGAGGGGGAGTTAGGGGTTCATTGAAAGTCAGGTATATCAGGGACTTATCTTTTGATGATGCAGTCTGCTGATTTTCCTTGAAGATGGATATGTATGTATTCATTTGGTAAGGCCATGCCTTCATGGGAATTGTTGCCTGCTAGGCCCTCAGTTCTTTTCTTGTATAAAGTACTACACACTACAGATTTGCCTAAGCTAGCATAGACTGTGGTTGTACAATCTCGAAAGTGGAAAGGCAGCTGAAACCGTATGCATGTACAATCTTGAGTTTGAATTCTTTTTCCTCCTTGCCCTATATTTTCTCTCTTTTTTTAAAGATTTTATTTATTTGAGAGGTAGAGTGAGAGAGAGGGAGAGGGAGAGACAGAGAAAGGTCTTTCATCCACTGATTTGCTCCCCAGATGGCTGCAACAGCCAGAGCTGCACCGACCTGAAGCCAGGAGCTTCTTCCGGGTCTCCCACATGGGTGCAGGGGCCCAAGCACTTGGGCCATCTTCCACTGCTTTCCCAGGCCATGGCAGAGAGCTGGATTGGAAGTGGAGCAGCTGGGACACAAACCTGCACCCATATGGGATGCCGGCGCTGCAGGTGGAGGCTTAGCCCACTACGCCACAGCACCAGGCCCCTGTCTGTTCAATCTTACCTCACCCACACCCATTTTGGAAGCAGTTTTCTCAGCAAAATTGACGCTGACAGCAGCTGTGTTGAGACATGGGTGTGCGGGGCAGGAAGGCAGCCGCACGGCTGATGAGCATTCAGGGGCACCATGAAAGGGCTTTTCAGCCACTTCTTCTGCAGGTGTCTACAATTTTTTATTTAAAATTTGAGAGAGAGAGAGCTTCCATCTGCTAGTCTACTCCTTAAATGCCCCCAGTGGCTGTGGCTAGACTAAGCCCAAGCCAGTAGCTGAGAACTCCATCTGGGTCTCCCACATAGACGGCAGGGACCCTACTACTTGAGACATCACCTACTGCCTCCCAGGGTGTGCATTAGCAGGAAACTGAAATTAGGAGCTGGAGCCATGTGTTGAATGTGGGCACCGTGATGTGGGTTGTGGGGGTCCCGGCTGGCATCCTCACCGCTGCTCCACATGCCCGCCCAGGCCTGGAGGTGGCGGAGGTTCCACCCTTAGAGCATGTCACACTGGCCCTGTTGGCCCTGAGAGAGATGACTGTGGACTACACAAGCACCAGTGTCCTGTGCCTGGGTCGTAGTCCCATGTTTGGAGCCAACTGTTCATATGGTGGCCCTGGAGCATTTCCCAGAAGTCTCATGGTCCAACTAGACCCATGTGTGCTTTCCTGCCCCCAACCCCTGCCTTGGGTTAGTTATCTCTTTATATTTTAAGGTAGATGGGTTAAAAGGCAAGATGTTTTCTTCTCACAACCATGGCCACTGAGACACTCTGTTTCCTTTGGAATTTATAATACAGCAGGAGTTTTCTTTGTTTATTTTATGAGGGAGGGGAAGTACAAATGTCAAGGGCCTCACTGACCTCACAGTCCAGAGTCCCGGGCCTGCTGCCGCCCAGCCAGCTGCTGCTTTCCCCGGGGCAGCATCCCCTGCTTCCACACCGCTGCTGTCTGCCTGTGGTGTGTGCTGGGGACTGCCCTCCGAAGCTTGGCCCGTGTCCCTCTCCTCTGGGCTGTGTGTGATGGGAAGGCCTTTCCCTGGGAGAATGGCAGGTGGCTGGTGTTACTGTTTTATAATAACTCCTAAATAACAAACCCTGTTTTCTGAGGCGTGGAAGCTACCACGTGTAATTTATTGAATGTTCTACTGAAAGTGAAAAACAGAATGGCTAATGAAAGTGCTTTCAGACCATGATAAAGCTGAAAAATTTTAAGTCAAAACCATCATCCTCATAAGATTGTTGCACATTTTTTAAAAGGATACAGCATGTAAAACATTTAGCATGGTGCCTGATTTGTCTCCAGAGCTAAATACAGTCTGACCCTCGCAAGTGGCTGTAAGTATTTGCTGAATGAATTTATGTAGCAGGCAAGGTTTGAAGTCTTTACTGGAGATTGGAAATATTTAAAAATGAGGTTTTCTGGGAACTTGTCCAGATCAGGACTGATTTTGGATGGAGAGCTTGCTCATGCTATTAAAATGCACAAAGAACATTTTTTGAGCAGGTATACTGTTCCAGGAGAGCAGCTCATTGAGTTATTTGGGATTATTATGTTATATATCCTGCTGGGATGCGAGGTTCACTCTCTTTTGTTCATTATGTTGGGATAACCCTGGCAACCCGAGTTAATGAACTCGATGCCTTTCTAACCAATGAGAGAAGCACATTGATATGCATGGTATATGAAAACTGAGATTTAGATTTTCTTGAGGAGAGCAAGATTATAAACTGTAATAACCTGTGTGGCCACAATTGAATCAAGGCTTTGTGCCCTTCAGAAGTCTTTGAAGATTCCCTGCACTGAAATTCCAGCAGCGCCAGGTGAATGGTTGAAACCACCGTGTGGCCACCTAGTTGAAGTTCTAGGATTCTTTTTTTAAAAAATTCTGTTCTGCAATTCTATGGTTTCTTCTCCCTCCCTCCCTCCCTCCCTCCCTCCCTCCCTTCCTTCCTTCCTTCCTTCCTTCCTTCCTTCCTTCCTTCCAAGATTTAGCTATTTATCTGAAGGAGTTACAAAGAGAGAGGGAGAGACATCTTCCATCCGCTGGCCCACCCCTCAAATGGTTGCAATGGCTGGGGTTGAGACAGAGTGAAGCCAGGAGCCAGGAGCTTTGTCTAGGTCACCCACTTGGATAGCAGGGGCCCAAGCACTTGGACCATCCTCTGCTGCTTTCCCAGGCCATCAGCAGGAAGCTGGATCGGAAGTGTGGCATCTGGGAGTCAAACGTGCACCCACATGGGATGCTGGCATGGAAAGCGATGGCTTTACCCTCTGCACCATGGCGCCAGTCCCCTCTGTGGTTCTGCTTGTTGTTTAGTAGACTGCCTAAGTAAATAGTCTTTAAAAAAATTTTTTTTTTGATAATTTTGTATGAACTCAACACCCATATCCCATGGTGGAGTACTTGGATTCAGTTCCTGACTCCAGCTTCCTGTCAGTGCTGGCCCTGGAAGGCAGTGGTGATGGCTCAAGTACTTGGTTCTTGATATCCATATGGGAGACCTGGATTGAATTCCTAACTTCTGGCTCCAGCTTTGGCCCAGCACCAGCTCCTAAGAGCATTTGGGGAGTGAATCAGTAGATGAGAACTCTCTGCCTCTCAAAAAAAAAAAAAAAAAAAAAAAAAAAAATCCAAACCCAAATGCTTACTGCTCTTGAAAATACATGAGGTCTTTTCCTGTCCCAGCCTGCACAGCCAGGCCTTTCCCGTTTCCCACACTGGGGTCGGCCTCACCAGGTCGTTGGCAGAGCAGGGCTGTAGGGAAGATGGCTTTGCCAGCCTCTGTCCCTCACATCTCCCTGAGCAGCTTGGACAGGGGCACTGGGGAAGCCTCTAGTGCTGTGGTTGGTGCAGCTGGACACTGGTCCTTGCAGCTAGGTCATGTACGGTGACAGCGGTATCGGCTTCTTTCTCTTTCCAGGACTCACGTTTTGACATGGCTTCCTGCTTCGCTGCTGTTTGTGGGTATAATCTATGCTGGCTCCAGAGCCCTGTCCAGACTGGTGAGTGAGCAGTTGGCGCGAGGACAGCCCCCTGCTCTCCTTCCCCCTTGCCTCTAAACCAGCTGCCCCCCCCCCCCGGGGCCCCTCGCGGGCAAGGCGTGGGCTTTAGTCCTGGCCAGTCCAGATTGGAGGACGAGTGCCAAGGCCCATGCCTCGCTTTGCCCCGCTTTGAAAGTGAAAGTGACCACATCACAGGGAAGGGCCATCCTGCCTCACCAGGTAGAGAAGCAGAAGACAGAGTGGCATTTGCGGAGCGCTGCTTGGGCGATCTCCCCATGCAGGCCAGCACCGCAGTCCCCCGAACGCGGGCGGTCGTGGGAGCGAGGCAGGAGAGCCCAAAGCTGCAGCTTGCTTCTGCAGAGCTGTCACGGCCCTGCCCACGGCCACATGGCCTGGTGGGCGCTGGGCTCCACTGTGAATGCCGATGCCTCCACACAGTCGGCGCCCGGGACATGGTGGTGGGAATAAAATAAGTTATCTGTTCTGTCTTCCCTCCCCTCCTCCCGGGGACCGAGCTTTGCAAATGTTGGGACTGCGAAGAGCAAAGCCGCTTCCAGAGCTGTGATTTAGAGCTCCAGAAACTTATTTTTGCTGCTGAAAGAGAATCCATTAAAAGCACCATTAGCAGAAGGTGGCTTAAAAACCAGAAAGCCCATTCCTGCTTCCTTCTCACTTGCACTCTGAGTGCTGTTTCTATTTATCAGAAACTGTAGTATGCTCTGACTTTTGGAAAAATACAGAATTAGCAAAAGAGCTTACTCTTTTTTAAAAAAAAATAAATAAAGTTTGCTGTTAGGTTGGTCCCTTCAGTCTCAGATATAAAAACCATGAAAACAAATATACGAAACCTACCTAACCGGCTAGCAGTGTTATTGTTAGGAGACTGCCAGAGTTGCAAAACAGTGGTTGAGAGTGCAATTGCGAAATTAAATCCTTTTTGTTTGTGATTCATAAGCTTGAGTAGAAGGGATGATATATATACAAAGGGACTTCAGAGAGTTTATGGAAAATGGAAATAAAACATAAACTTATTTGGCGCGGAAGTGTTTTTTTGTTTGTTTGTTTGCTTGTTTTTTACAGGCAGAGTGGACAGTGAGAGAGAGAGAGAGACAGAGAGGAAGGTCTTCCTTTTCCGTTGGTTCATCCCCCAATGGCCACTGTGGCCGGCGCACCGCGCTGATCCGAAGCCCAGAGCCAGGTGCTTCTCCTGGTCTCCCATGGGATGCAGGGCCCAAGGACCTGGGCCATCCTCCACTGCACCCCCAGGCCACAGCAGAGAGCTGGACTGGAAGAGGAGCAACCAGGACTGGAACCCGGCGCCCCAACCGGGACTAGAACCCGGTGTGCTGGCGCCGCAGGCGGAGGATTAACCTAGTGAGCCGCGGCACTGGCCAATCGCGTGGAAGTTTTTTGAAATCCATGCAAGGTTGTTTTTTCATAATAGGTATGTTTTCCATGGACTTGTTGAAGACCTCCTTGTACAACGGGAGACACACTTCCCGGGTGGGCAGGTTGGTGTTCACCCAGAACCTGAAGCCGCCGCTGGCTCTCTGCTGCCTCCTCTTGGCCGCATCACGCTGCTGCGAACGCGCGGTCTCCCCTCGCACCCACGGCCTGGCACAGGTGCTTCCTCTGCTACAGCACAGGGCGTAGGACTTAGGTCAAGCGATGTGCTGCTCCAAGGCTTTCCGCATTTTTTTTCTAGTTTATAGATACTTACGGATTCCAGGATTTAAAAAAAATATTTTATTTTATTATTTGAATAGCAGTGAGCATGAGAGAAAGAGAGAGAGAGAGACTGCCCATCTGCTGCTTCACTCCCCAACTGCTCGTAACAGCCAGGCTGAAGCTAGGGGCTAGGGACTCAGTCTGCGTGTCCCATGTGGGTGATGGGGACCCAGGGACTTGAGCCATTGTCTGGTGCCTCCCAGGATACACATCAGCAGGACACTGGACTCAGGAGCGAAGTGGGGAGTGAAACCCAGGCCCTCTGCTTTGGGATGCGGGCACAGCACCCGTAGTGTTGGGGGGTGGGTTTTCAAGTCTGAAACCAGGCACTGGGACGGTCTGCCAGGGCAAAAAGGCTTTTGCAGTAGACGGACAGCATGGGAGGGAGGTGAGGGGAACACTGTGCAGCAAGTGGGGGTCTGAAAGGAGGCCCGTGGCGGGGAGTTGTCCTTTTATGTGCCTTGCCTGGGAAGGGACCGTGTATTCACGTAGAGACCCCACCCACTGCCATGAAGTGGGCCTGGACGGGCACAAGAGACAAGGCTCGCCCACGGGTGTTTATCTGCATCACCAGTGTACGCCGTTTGGTCTTATCAGCCTAGGATGTCCCTGGCAGGGAGCTGTGAAAGTCAGAGTGAGGCCCAGGTATCCTCAGGGGCGTGTCCTCTGTGCCTCACTTTCCCAGGGGTGGGGTTCACCCTTCGTGTCCCAACGGCCTAGCGCCAAGTGGCATCTTGACCAGTGGGCCGAACACATGCTCCGTGATGCCAGGATTTTGAGGCTCGAGTCAGGAAGGCATTGTGCTTATGCTAATACTACTCTCTGTATGGTGCTTTCTCATAGGTTTCCACAGTGATTTTCTTGGTGTCTTTTCCTGGGATTACTCACCTGACAGGAACAGGCATAGGTGTGGAGATTCTCTCTGCAGAGCGACAGCGACTCCCCAACTATTGCTGCTTCAGATTTGTCTCTTTAGGACCAAGGCATATAGATTTTAGGATGAGCACCAGATGTAATATTTGTGCTTCAGTTTTGGTTGCAGTTAGGTGTTATAAAGCTCACGAATGAGTCTAAGCAAAAGGAAAATTTACTGGTTCATATAAGTAAAAGTTTGTAGGATAGAATCCTCCTTCAGGCATGGCTTGATCCAGAGGTTCCAATGACAAACTCAGAATCCAGCTTTTCTTTTTGTCTTTCAGTTTAGTTCTCTGTCCTTGCTCCATTTCATAGCCAGGCCCTCCCTTCATGGGTATTGTTAACACCAGGCCCACATCTACACAACTTTCTTTCTCTCTTTAGAATTAATTTATTTATTTGAAAGGCAGAGTTACAGAGAGGCAGAGGTAGAGGCAGAGGCAGAGGCAGAGAGAGAGAGAAAGAGAGGTCTTCCATCAGCTGGTTCACTCCCCAGATGGCCACAACGGCTGGAACTGCACTGATCCGAAGCCAGGAGCCAGGAGTCTCCCACACGGGTGCAGGAGCCCAAGCACTTGGGCCATCCTTCACCGCTTTCCCAGGCCATAGCAGAGAACTGGATCAGAAGTGGAGTAGCCAGGACTAGAACCGGCGCCCATATAGGATGCTGGCACTGTAGGCAGCAGCTTTACCCGCTTTGCCACAGCACCAGTCCTGATCTGCACAACTTTCATGGACAAAGCCAGTCTTCCTGGGAGCTGCTGCTTGAGCCCCTGGGTTTACTCTGATCAGAGCAGCCAGGACCACTACCCATCCCAGCCAGGAGGATGGAATGATGTTGATTGGCCAGCCTAAGACGATAACTGGATAACCTGTGGGTGGAGAAGCTTGGAGCACTGACTGGCCAGCCCTGGTCATACGGAGTCCCTGCCTGGACCCTGGAGACTGAGAAAAGAGTGTGGGGGATGCTCAGTATTGATGTGCTTTAGTAAAAAGGGGAGGGGGACACTAGGTGGCCAAACTCCCTCTGAAGTCCACCGTAAGTGCCATTCTGGCATGTTCCCAGCAGGTGGGGAGGTCTGCAGCCCGGAACAGGGCTTCCCACCGCAGGTGTGCCTGCCTCTGAGCTCTTGCTGACCTGGCCACCAGGACGCTGTGCAGCACGTCCACCAGCGTCACCACTGGACATGCTCTTTAGTTGAGTTTGTTTTTTTAAACGGAGCTCTTTGAAGAAGGAAACAACACACTGACCGACATTCTGGTGCCAACTCCCTACCTTTCAAGTAGCAGCACTTGGAGCGGCCCTGACCCACGGTACAGCCTTCTGTAATAGGCGAAGAGAAGCTGCTGCAATTCAGACCCTTGGAAAGAGGGAGACCACCAAGCCCCAAATCCACCCAGGCAGAGCGGGAGCAGGGTGGAGAGGAGACAGAGTACTGGTTTGTTTTTTTTTGGGGGGGGGGGACTCAACCAGCATCTTTTCTTTGTGTCCTGAATTCTTTGTTTTTACACAGTTGCTTTGAAATTCAGAGGGTGGGTAAACAGGAGGTCCTGTACAGGTCTTGTTGGATAGAAAGCAGGCATCAGTGTGCTGGGGCCAGCCTGTCCTGTAATGAATTCTTAAGGACTTGGTTAAAATCCATGGGTGTGCCGGCGCCCCGGCTCACTAGGCTAATCCTCTGCCTTGCGGCGCCGGCACACCGGGTTCTAGTCCCGGTCGGGGCGCCGGATTCTGTCCCGGTTGCTCCTCTTCCAGGCCAGCTCTCTGCTGTAGCCCAGGAGTGCAGTGGAGGATGGCCCAAGTGCTTGGGCCCTGCACCCCATGGGAGACCAGGATAAGTACCTGGCTCCAGCCATCGGATCAGTGCGGTGCGCCGGTTGCAGCGCGCCGGCCGCGGCAGCCATTGGAGGGTGATCCAACCGCAAAGGAAGACCTTTCTCTCTGTCTCTCTCACTGTCAAAAAAATAAAAAAAAAAAAAATCCATGGGTGTATTGTTATGCAAACTGCTGTGCAGGCAGCTCTTCCATAAAGTCCTGCTTTATCTGACAAGGCCTTGCAGCCTGTACCGTGGCTCGCTTGGTTAATTCTCTGCCTGTGGCACCAGCATCCCATATGGGCGCCAGGTTCTAGTCCTGGTTGCTCCTCTTCCAGTCCAGCTCTCTGCTGTGGCTCAGGAAGGCAGTAGAGGATGGCCCAAGTGCTTGGGCCCTGCACTCGCGTGGGAGACCAGGAGGAAGTACCTGGCTCCTGGCTTTGGATCGGCGTAACTCCAGCCGTAGCGGCCATTTGGGGGGTGAACCAACGGAAGGAAGGAAGACCTTTCTCTCTATCTCTCTCCCTCACTGTCTAACTCTT